GAAAGGCTTGATGATGTCGTCGCTGATTAGGCAATGGTTAGTTGTTACGCAGGGAATCAAGTCTTCCAGAAAGAGCTTTGATCCTGAGAATTTTTAAGCGAGTACCGGTATCACTGTATTTTTTTCGGATTGCTGAATCGAACCGCAGTAGCTTCACCGCACCTGTAAGGTTTGGTCCCACGTACACTGGAATAAAATGTTACTCTTTATTCGTATATACAATTCACACTTAATCTACAACCAAGAAATTATTGCTATTATCCGACCTTCCGCCATCCGTTCGATATCGATTTCAAGCAAGCATCATTTTTTATGAGATTTGGATCCTTGAGCAAAGTGGTGCGAGACCTCTGAAATAGGAATGGGTTAAGTGGAGACTGGGAAAGTTTCTGATTTTCATATCAGTATGACCACTGTTGGTGATAATCAAAGCCATAATTGATAATTTAGGCACAAATTTGTGCGGTCTATTCATTTGTTCAGGCGCTTCACATAGCCTACAACTGTGTTGGCCATACGGCTTAGTAGCAACTTCATATGGCCTTAACTGGTCCCTAATTTAGCTTGTACAGTCGCAGTAAGGTCGTTACAGTCCTACTGAAGCTATTACTACATGAGCGGCTTGGTCACCTAATCCGATATTCATTCCTAATTAACATTTTCATCGAATCTCTTCGGCAACCATAAGACTTTTTCGCCAGCCCCAGATCGCAGAGGAATTTCGGCACCGAAACAGTGGCTTGTTTTACAAGATATTACTCCGCATTTCTCCGTGTTTTTTGTTTATCTATTGTTTTTTTCTCTCGTTATTGGTCACTGATGATGGAGGAGGTTTCGCGAAAGGAGAGACGCTTTGCCACAGCACTGTCCGGGGATTCATTCCGGAACAACCTCCTGAGTCTAAGCAAGCCTTTCGTCAGTAAGGGTTGTGAGGTTGGTACCGTGTTTGCCTCGAGGAAACTAACCCACTTGCTAACGCTAACCCACGCCTTTCATTGAGTTGCTCGATACTATTTCAAATGCCTCTTGGATTTTGGATGGAAGTTCAATAAGTGGCGCATCCCGAAAGTAGTTAAACAGTCGCTGGAACTTTGTTCTTTTATTTTCTTAATTAACCACCGTTGAACGCCATCAACTACTATAATTTGACTAGGAATTCACCTATTCAGCGAATTCTGGCTTACTTGTGGAAATTTTATGGTTCGACCGCAACCTGTCCTTACACTGATTGATGCGGGTCTTTTCCATAGAACGTTTTCGTATTCGTGCTATCCATAACTACGCAAAATGAGTACCCTCTTGAGCGTTGGAGATTTTGAAAGCCTCAATCGAGAAAGGCAAGGTATTTTTTCTGGAAAACCCCTTCATCAATGATGGGATTCGTTCTGTGACTGGAAACGGAACTACACTTGAGCGGCCTTAGTGGCTGTCCATTCACCATTGTGCTTACCAGAGCCTGACATTGCCTTGATTCCACTAATCTAACCAGTTTTTTTCAATCACACTATCTCTTTTGAACATTTGGAAGACCAATTTTCGGGGGATTTTGAAAGCGAGGAAACGTTCACAAACCTGACACCGGCGTTAGCGAAGCAGCGGCAGAGTTGCTGAATCGCTGGAGTGTTGAAACCTTGTCTGATGGCGCATTGCTTAGCAGTCTGGACAAGAACGTTGTCTGGAGGCAGAGCCAAACCGCAGCTGGAATAAATCGAATTTAAGCAGTTTTAAATCCTCATGGTTTCGTATCGATGCGGATGAGGAACGAACTTTAGTTTCTTAAAGCATCCTCCGGTTCCTCGGTCCATGCATTTCTCGATGCAGGTCATGCATTTTTCGATTGCAGGTAGCAAATTTCTTTCCGTCAGCAATGAAACTTGGTCGGGCTCTGCGCTGGATGCCTGAAAATGTATGGAATGATTTTAGTTTGTTGCCTTAAGTTGAGTTGTGACAGACGTTTGTTCGGGGGCAGAGCCAACCGCAATAGTGATTTTTTTTCATTGCAAGATGATTTATAGGACGATGCACAGGTACTCCATGTTTTTTACGAGTTCTTTTATTTTCACTCACCGGAGTCGAGCAGGCATTGAATTGATTTCCGCGTAGCGCGCGAGTTTTCAGTGTTTCGCGTGATAACGCTTAGGAACTTTCGCCAGGGGCTCTCGCCCAATCTGGAATAGAACCTACATTTAACGCTGTTTTACTGCAGACTTCTGACTGAAATTTCATGATTCATATGCATTGTAATATTCAACGTTTTGGGTGGATTCCGCATGTAGCATTTTTGTAACGTCCTTGCAAAGTAACATCACGTGTCTTGTGAACTCGAAGCGCATGTTGAGCGGTATATGTTTTTTCATGCGATGCGCCGCCCCGATGTGGATGTGTCTCTGTCTGCGTCTAGCTCGCCCCATATGCTCTCTCTCCTCACCACTTAGTGTTTCCTCTCCATAGCCTCGTCCAACCCTCAGGAAAAAGATGGCTTGATCTCATTGTTGGTCAGTATCTTTTTTTCTATTTTACTGGGTGATCAGGGCGATTCGAGTGTCTGCTCTGCTTTCGTAGTCGGAGAGCAAGGACAACACCAAGCAACTGGAAATCAGAACTTGAGTTATCGATTGTGACCGAATTTCCGCACGTGAGTAGGCGGAATTGATCTCAGATAAGTCTGAAAATTAGCAGTTTTGCTCTCGCTCTCTGCCATTCCACAGCGAAATATCGTAATAACTTCATCAGCGCGCTCGAGTGGAAATGATTACAATCAACGCGGTTAGTTATCACGAAGACGGAGAGTCGTTTTTTAGAGCAGAGAGGGTAGTAGCACAAAGTGTCAAACTCATATATATCTGTTCATAAACTGCTTCTATTACATTTGCCAAGGTAGGTTAGGAAACTCACGCTCCAGACAACTCGTTACTTTGGCAGCCAACGACTCCTCTGATCATTGGCTCCTTAGCCTGGATACATTGTCTCAATGCTGGGTACGAACCACCCATAGCTGTCAGATGACTCTGAAATAAGCCTTAATGAACTTTAATGCTGTAATAAAAAAAGCACTACATTTAGACTAGATTTTTCGTTCTTGATAGTGTCTAATACAGCAACTGCTCCAGGTGAGGCAAATTTCTTGAATATCTGAGAACAGAGCCCCACAAGCAGCTGCCCTCTCAGAGCGGAGGGGCTTCAGCCCTTCAGCGGGGGAGTTTCATCCGTTCAAATAATAGCTAAAGACGTCATAAGAATAACCTTAGGCTTCTGTTTGTTTCTCTTTTGCAAGACGAACGTTCCGCAACTTCGCGGTCAACAACTTGGCTGCTACAGGTTTTCTGCACATTGTGGGCAACTGACAACACTATCGCGCTCTATGTATCATTGAGGCGAGCGTAAACAATGCAGTTTATACAGCGCAATGATGGAAAATAAATTCACGAAGCGCATGGCTTTTTTCTCAATTTGGGAGATGCTTCCACTGAGAATCCCAGAGGAAGGGATGTGACGTTTATTCACAGAGAGTGGGGCAGCGATGCCACCACAGCTGTATCACCGACGCTATCGCAAGATACAGGGGCATTGTGCTGCAACGCATTTGAAACCTTGCATCTCTTTTTGTCAAAATCGGAACTGAGCCTTGGTGGGGGAAGATGGGCTCCAGAGATCGTGAGCAATTTTTATTTAGCCCGATGCTCTTGTCCCTACTATGTAGGCCTAGCTTTAGACGATGCCCCATAACTTGCGATAGCACCGTTTCACTGCCATCAACATGGTTGTACGAGAATTTCTAACTATCAGCAAGCTTCCATTTGTGTCGGAGGTGGTGTAATGAAGAATGCGTCGCTCACCACGCGCTCGGCTTGGGATCAATTCTTTGATCGAATCTTGCTCGAGTGAATCAAACATTCCATCCATCGGGGCTTCTGTTAAGGATCAGACTTGTGTGGAAGGGGAAAAACAGTGGCTCGCACATAGATTGACCCCCGCAAGTCATTTCATAAGCTAAATCGCATTCAAGCCAATACGATTCTGAAAGGAAGTACAGTCTTGACGCAGCCCAGGGAGTAACTTATGAGGTCGAGTGTTTCATTCATTACACGGGTTCCATTTTAGTCCAACAGCACTTATTTCACGTGAGTATGAAGTAGTGTAAAAGGCATGGCTAGCATCTGTCGGAAGTTCTTCATTCTTTCTGAAAGTAGGTCAGTGCTATCAAGTCCACCTCCAAGGAATAGAAACAGTAACTTGAGTTGTGGTTTGTCGTGATTTGGACTTCGGAGGGCGATACGCATTCAGGTACTACTCTAGGACGCCGAGGGGCTGGGGCACTAGGTACAGTTTTACGCTTAGACCACAAGAACACGGACGTGCCAGGTGGATCGGGTTGCTTTTCAATCTGTCTGTCCGATTTCAAGTACAATTGCGTATTATCCAAAGCGGTAAAAGCTCTGCTCTGATTTACAGTGCATTGGAAAGATCTGCTCTTTCAGGCATTTCCCCTACGTTGCATCAATTTTTGCATTCCCTTGATGGCGGCTGATGGTGAGATGTTGATAGGGTTGATGGAAGCTGGTTGGTACTAATGTCGTTGAAAACGCGGTAATGTAAGTAGCCTAACTCCAGGCGAGGATGGATCAACCTTTTGGAGACTTATCTAGTAAGGAGTTATCAGGCAAATATGTTTAACTTGAACTGCAAAGTATTTCTCACCTGGCACTGATCTGAGCATTGCATAATGTTTCCGGTTGCTTTGTTCTTGCATGGCTCGAATTCCTGGCAGGTACACTGCCGGACCATTTGCGATTGAACAGCACCGATTATCGCCAACAGTACAATACAGTAAAACATTTCTGAAATTGTTGCATTCATATGATTGACGAGATCGAGAGTCACTGAAGAGAAAGAAGTCGACTGGAGAAAACACGACCACTGAGCAGTGGTGATTTCTTCTCGAACAACATTTTCGCTCGGTATTTATGCGAGAGTTTTCGCCAACAGTTCGCAGCTCCGCCCCACGTTCCGCCTCTCTAAATTAGAGCAATGTGGTCGGGGACGTTTTCATCCATGCACAGGTTTTATGCTTGAAAATGGGGCTGCCGGCAGTAGGAAAGTATGAGGTAGATGGGTAGAAATAAGCGTTGAGGTTGAAAGGGGTTGCTTATATCTACCGCTGACTCTTTTACGCCATGAAACGATTTTCCAGCATCAACCCTCGCTTGTGTGGGCTACAGGTCTTCACAATGGTCGCTCCTTTTGTGCAAAGGTTTCCACGTCCAAGAGGGAAAGAACACAGTGCAAACAGTTCTATGCGATTCTGGCCATTTTTTATTCACGGTAGAGTGAGTGACGAAGGGGCGTCTCAAAATCAGCTCAGACGACGACTTTTCAAACATATGACAATTTCTTCCAGTGGGTCCTTCCCTCCGAGTCCTTTATACTGAATCGAGAATACATCAAAGCCTTAAAAATTCATTTCTTTAAGAGCTGCAGCGCCCCATCTCCGGCTAATATTACTTGGCATTTGGTCTGCCCTCCATAGAATACTTGCTCGCTGAAGCGTCTACTGACCCGACAGGAAAGGCGCCCAGAAAGAAGCCCGAGTTATTCCAGTGGTCTCGATCCTACACATTTTCATCGAATCCAGGGCTAACTAAGCCTATTGAACTAAGTGGTGGCAAAGAAGAGCTAATTGAACCATTAGCCTATTTTTTTGCAAAAAAACTTCTTCTAGGACAGGCACGATCCAAGGTGAACCTTGACTTTATGGTTCAGCGACCCCATTTAAAACCATATAACGCTTCACACTCAAAACTTCAGCTTCACATGGCTCCAAGAGTATCCAGTTTTATTAACCATAATATTCAAGAAATTCGGGGTTTAGATGTAGGCAATGCTCAAATAGTGCAAAGGGAGGTGAATAAATGATCACAAAAAGCGTTGGATCTGTCAACTGTAGACAGTACGGTGGTGACCTCTAAAAAGCACCCTGCACGTTTTGACAGAATAAGGATCCATTATTGAGAGACCATTTATTGAGAGTAAGTGCCAGTCGATCATGCACAAAATACCAAAACGCCCCCACAATGCGAAGAATTCAACAGACAAGAAGATGGAGCCTCCGAACAGGGTCAGTCCTATCGTTGCTACTTTTCGAAAAGTTTTTACGACGACCCCCCTCCTTCAGGAAAAGTTTCCTACGACCCCCCCCCCTTTCCGACCAATTTTTACCCCAAAAAATTACCGTCGAGCGGGAGGGGTATATACTTCCCTTAAAACCGCAAAAATTCCCTACATTTCCTTGCAATTTCCCTATGTTTTACCCATATTTCAACTGCTTCATTTTCTAGATGGGGGGGCTGACACGGCAAATTATTCTATGCTGCGCGCCGTCCTCTGTCCATCACATACCCACTTCCTCAACCTAAAGCCAGTACGACCCCCCCGACAACCGTCACTAAAAATACGACCGCCGTTGCCTTTGTCTGCAACATAGGCGACCGGTCCGAACCTTCTATCCGCGTTAGGGCTATTAGCTGGCATGTTAGCTTATTTTCGCAATCATTTAAATGCTTCAGCTCTGCAGCTTCTTTAGGACCATTCTCATGCCTGTTAGCTCGACTATACTCATCGTGTAGATGGGCGTATTCATGAGGTGATGACAAGGCCCCAAGTCAAAGTCATTCCGATGTTCACATAGCATAGCCCTAGGAATTGGACAAACAATACAGGATAAGGAGCAAGTTCTATCAGCATCATTACCACAGATTACATCATGTCTGTCTGATTTGATTTGAAAGTGCGCTTTAATGAAATTTGCACACGTATACAGCTGCACCATTACCTTATAATGAGCTAAGACCAAACCTTGTTGCCGCCAATTGTATATTTTATTCATCAAGCCCTACTACCAAATACATTAATCTTCTGTGAAGAACGAGGTCGAAAGTGGCCGTGCGACCATCTGATTGTTTGTGTTGAAAACACCGCACATGCCAGCGCTTCGGAGTGCCCATTTATGGCAGTTCAAAAATACACTATCGCTCAAAAATAAAGCATTCAAATCAGCCAAGTATTCAAAAGGCGTAATCCTTAATAGAGAATCAATGAAGCAATCAAGAGCTCAGGTACGTCACTGATGGAATCTTCACCTTGGATTGAAGAATTTTCGTGGAACATCTGAGAATTTTCTGGGCACTTTTTTCAAGTTTTTTTTTGTGATTATTTTGTATTTGGTGAAGAGGAGAGGACCAGGGTCCGCCAGCGTCGAGTGTTCCTTGAATAGGCTCGCATGGCTTTCTGGGTTCCTATCGACTGGACTTTGCAGTATATTCAAAGTGGAAGTAGGATCATGTTAGGGCATAGGGTTCTTTTGAAGGAATTTGCATATTTTTGCTCAAAAATTCAAAATTTGCAGAATCACGAAAATTTCGGAGTTTTTCGTAATTAGGTGGTAAATTTATATCTCAACACTCAGTCCATTTTGCATCAACACGTGGCTTGCCTTTGGTTTGAGAGTATACTCATAGGATTCTGAGAGAGCATGTGGCCAAGAAATCGATATGTTGATGTGTGTTCGATTTTCAAGGAATTTTCGGGTTTTTTTCCTCACGCATGTTCCTTATCCTCGCTCAGCACTGTAGCCTACGTGTTTGTGAGTGAAAAATTTGTACTGCATCCTGGGAAAGGAAAAGCAGTAGGACCCTTTCAAGGTCTTCTGAAACCTGGATGTGGGACCATTATGGAGGAAAGAGGGAGAGACAACTTCGAGCTTCAGAATTTTTTATTCTCGACTCACCTTGGCGGCATCCATGATTCAAAGTCCACTAGGTTATCAGGTCTCACAGCTCGGCTAATGTTTCCAGTGTATGCCCTAGTTCCCTATTTATCTGCAAGTTTAGAATACGACAAACTCCACTTTTTTGCGGAGATTTTCTGTTTGGCTGCGCGATCGCATCACCTGTTGGAGATAGTGAAGATCCGTCAGACACGGAAATGCCCTTGATCACTTTATCGCTCTTCAGTTCTCGCTATCACTGGAATTAACTTTGAAGGCCACTGGTTTGATCACTCCGCCTGAAAGAACGCCTTCCTTTTTATATTTTCCAGAAATCCAACTTGATTCATTTCACCTTGCTTTCATTTGTGGGAGCACAGCTAACTCTCCTCTACTATCTGAATCACGCTATCAACTTCAATTGCATGGTTACCAAACTTGCTTATATTTTGAGTTTCGTAGGTTTTATTGGCTACTCCGTGGACCGTGTAGGTCGCCTTCGCTGGATCATGAGTCATTTATGTGCATTGTATGCAACACTTCCTCTGTTCCAAAACTGTTAAAGTGGGAGTATATTAAGCTTTGAATCGAAGCCTTCCTCAAGCATTTTGTGAGGTTTCTAATAAAAGTTACATTCCGAAAAATGCCATCCAGGGCATATTAATGAATACTGAATAAAATATTATCATATCAGTATGGGTGCACAGTTAGGGTGCCTCTAACTTTCTTGTATCTGGAATCGATACCATCTTTTTCTTTTGCTTGTCCAACTCCATTTCTGAAATCCAGTCTACTTTTGATACAGGGGTATAACCAACAGCATCGAATGAACATTTTTTCTGCAGCGCCATGTTCCTCGATGATGCGACAAGGGAATGTGGCTCATTAATGGCTTTTTCATGAGTGGCTTTTTTGTATAGATTTACACCCAGCAAGGAATTTCTCCCCTACCAGTTCTATTGTTGAAATGCCGCTCCTTCACGAAACAGAAAAAACGATTTTCCGCATGCCAAGTTTTCTATGTAGTCACATTCCTCCTATCTCTCCCAGAGCCTCATCGCAAGGATTCAGCTCTTTACCCTCGCCCAAGCTACGATCCTTACACCTCTTTACTTGTTTCCGTACCCACTAATATCATTTTCAAAAGTGTATTGATCGGCAGGGTAATTAAGTCGAAGCTTTCCCTAATTGCAAGTTCCTAAAACTTGCGCTTGAATAGCTCGACTTGTTAGCACTATTGTCTATAGTGAGATAGCGAACAATTAACAAATTTTTGATTTATCGTTACTTTTCTCGTGGGTTCCATGTCGAGGGCGGAAGTGGTGTAGTGACAAGTGGCGCGCTTACCACGCGAGCGGTCCGGGGATCAAATCCTGGGTCGTGAGTCGCCCGGGCCAACCAAGCCTTCCATCCCTCCGGGGTCGGTTAATTGGTACCAGACTTGTCTGGGAGGATAAAAACACTGACTTGTACATCGGCTGGCCCCCGCAAGTCATTGTATAGGCCACATCGCATTCAAACGCCACTACGAATGTACAAATGGAAGTAGAATGCGTGCCGCATCCCAAAAGGGATTGATCAACGGCAAATGCTTTATCCTTTATCCTTTTATTTATACCCATGTATTCCGTTTTTCTTCATTCACAGTACATCAAAAAAGAGAAAAAAAGCAGGATTGAAGAAAAGCAAGCGCTTCCTGGATCCCAAGCAATGGCCTCTTTTTGGTGGTGCATTTTATCGGTACTACCCTCTTTAGCAGCACCGCTCTCTCCGTGCTAGAGCGGATCGAGTCAGACGGTGACGGGTGTGCGGACAGCGATGCGCTTGGCTTGCGTATGGCCCTGCTAGGCTGCTGGGCATACCCTTCGCTGCACAACCCTCATCTTCCGTACCCTCATGGAGCCAACCTGCCCTTCCATCAGATTTACTCCCCCTTCTTCGACCCTCGTGAAACTTCCTTCGACATGTTCTTCAGACGGTATAGTACATGGGTGCATTCGAATCCTACAACTTAATCCCAGCCAATGCGATCCTCGGCTAGAGAGAACCGTTCAATGTCAACTATGTTGACGAC